TTTTTAAACTTTATTTTACTTTACTTTAATAGTTGTAAAAAAGGTTATTTTTAACTAATCAATGTACTGAAAAAAAATTTTTGGAAAAGTTTTTTTTAAATTTTCTTTTTTTTTGTTTTCAAAAAAGAAGTAAAGCATCACATTGCGTACTTTTTGAAATGACGTAAATAGGTGACTTTTAGAATGGAAAGGAAAAAAAAAAGTGAAATGAAATTAAGTATATTTGTTATGTCTTGCATTCTTTGCAGTAAACAAACATATGAGATTAATGCTTATCAATATGTTATGCAAGCAGAAAAAAAAAAAAAAGATTAAAAGTAAACAAGTTGGATAAAAGTTTAGGTATAAAACTTATTTTACTTATAACTAATTTGCATAATTTAATTTTACATATTTTTTGACTTATGCATTTTGTTAAATTTCTTACATAAAAAAAAAAAGGAAAAAATTACTACTTTTCATTATATTTCTTTTACATGTAATATAAGTGCTTAAGTTTGTTTCAATTTTTACTGAAATTACATTTCCATTCTTAGCTATTTTAGGTAAGTTTTGAAATTTGCGCTTAGCATAGATTTTATTTTCAATTATTAATTATTGTTTTTTAATCATTTCATTTTAATTATTTATTTTTTTAATCATTTATTTTAAATTTCAATTATTTATTCTTCAAATTTTAATCATTTATTCTTCAAATTTTAATCATTTATTCTTCAAATTTTAATCATTTATTCTCCAAATTTTAATCATTTATTTTAAGTTTTGATCATTTATTTTAAATTTTAATCATTTACTTTTCAAATTTTAATCATTTATTTTTCCGTACCGATTAGATGATAAGTAATGACATATGCTTTATGCATTTTTATTGAGATATATAAGGTAACTTAAAGGGTAAAAAAAAAAGCCTAAACAGCAAATAAGGTTTATTAGCATTTTATATAAGTTGAGTATAAATTGCTTTATTAAATTGACTAATTGTTTTTTTGTTTTCCACCTTTTTTTTTTCTCTATTTGAAAAATAATTCCCATATTTATTTCACTGTACTTATTAATCAAACATTAATCACCTATATGAATAAAATTAATTTTATATTTTCCTACTAAAAATAATGAAATTAATTTTTAATTACAAATATTT